CCCCATCAGGGACCCCAGGGGTGGGACAGGGCTGGTCACAGGCTGCGTCCCTCCATCGCCCACGCCAGCTCCCACGCTTACACAGTGCTACACGGCTCGGTTTATTAATAATATTAAATATACAAGGTATTTTCTATTATTTTCTTTAAATAGACTTCTTTAAATGACTTTGTATAAAATATTTCGACATTTCATTGTATCAAAAAAGAAAAAATAAAACCAAAAACAAAAACACAAACCAAACAAACAAAACAGAGGCAAAATAAATCCGACACAGCTTAAAGGCAAGTTTTCTCCCCCAGGAGGGGGGGGACAGCACGGTGTCAGCATCTCCTCCACGGTGCAAATCGGTGCCGAGCCGGTGGCTTACACCAGCAGCGAGTTTGGCCCCAGCCTCCCTGCTGGGGTCAGGGCTTTCCTCCTGATTTACACCAGTCCCTTGCACTGGAAACCCCTCCTTTTGGCAGTCATAAATACACTTATAAAAAAAAAAAAAATTAATAGTAATGCTTTCTTTAAAAACAGTTTGGTTTGTCCACATTTTCTTCCATCATATAAAAATAATACTTCAAAACCCAAGAGCAGCGCGGGCCACGCTTCACGTTCAGGGCCAGAGGGATGCCGCGGTGGGGCAGGATGCGGCCCGAGCCCGGGGTTTGGGGTATCTGCGGGGGTGCTATATCCCAAACCAGGCTCTTCCCAAAGCCAGGGAGGGGGCTGAGCCAAAAAGCCCCCGGGTACCCAGCTGGGGCATCTCCATCTCTTACGCCCACGTCGATCCAGTCCTTCCCCGGCCCCGTTTCCCTTCTCTAAAGCGCAGTCACAAAAGAAATCCAGTCGCAGGCGAGGCCAGCTCACAGCAATAACCCTGCGAGGGGGCAGGAGGGGGCCCCCCGTAAAATACTTCTGCAGGATAAAGACTTTCATCCGCTATATTAAAATAAAACCCTAACGGCACGACGGCGAGCCGAGGCCAGCTCAGGCATGCAGGATCGGAGCCAGATCTCCAGTGCAGGCATGCAGGAGCCAGATCTCCAGGGGCAGGAGGATGGGGACCGGGACCGTGCCAAACGTCACCCCCCCCCCCCCCGGCCCCGCTGCGGGGACGCGGGCACCAGTGGGCTTTAAATATTCACAGTGTGAGGGTTGAAGTTGCAAGTCAGGGCTGGGGTCGTGCAGCCCCGGGGGGTGGGAGTCCCGGCGACTGACACCCCCCCCTCCCCCCGGCATCTGGGATGCTCCGGCTGAAGCCTTGGTAAAGGCAGGGTGAAGGTGGGGGGGCGATGGGTGCTGCTCCAAACCCCGCTGTGCTGGGGTGGGAAGAAGAGCCAGGCGATTCGGGGAGCTGGTCCCCTCCATCTTCAGCCAGCGCTGGCCATGTCCGAGTCAGATCCATCATCCCACATCCAGCGCCAGCCTCTCCATCGTCCTGCTCAGCACCATGGTGTCACATCAGCCACCGCCGCCATCCCGGCAAAGCCCTTCAGCGATGGTCCGACACCTTCCAGCCCCTCGCTTCCCGGTGCCCGGGGGTCCCACTCAGGGCGCATCCTTTCGTCCCTGCCAGGGAGGTTTTTGCAGTCTCTGGCCGCCGGCGTGGGGCGAGGGAAGAGGGAGTGTCAGCATCATGGCAGGACTGCGGAGGGGCCGGCGCGTGCCAACGCTCCTTCGCACGGCGAGGAGCATCCGAATCCGTCCCCCGAGCAGCTTCACATCCCGCCTCGGGCCCTGGGGAAAGGAGGAGAAAGATGAGTGGGAGCTGAGGCTCTGCCAGGG